GCCGATCCGGTGATCCACAGCGCAAATTTGTTGTATTTCCTCAGCGACCAGCACGGATCAGCTCTAGGCATGACGAAGCGGATATCGTCCTCTTTTGGAAGACCAAACAAAGTAGTTTCGCTTTCACAACGAAGCACACAGCGTCTTCAGGACATGGCGGAAAGCGGCAACAATACTACAGTGAGAATAATAGTTACACCTTCTTTCTTTGCGTGAACATTTGGGCGGCGTTATGCAAATCTTCCCACATAGTGAGGTAGATATGTGGGGGCGTGTTAGAACAAGCCGTTTTAGGTAGGTGTGGCTGACTCTTAACTTTTATAAAGAATATCTCTTTGGATTTGAGACTTTAGTCTTTGCAACTTTACAGATCTTCTTTATGCACCAAGAGCTTGTAACACTCCAAAGAGAAAGGAAAAATTGAAATCGCATCATATGGCCCCTTTAAGACAAAAAACACAATAAATAAATAAAATTTATGAATGATGCAGTGCTAATTGACATATCTTTTATTACAGTACAGAAACTATAAATTATATTTTCTACCTTATTCTGTGCAGAAAATTGAAATAATTGTTTGTAGTATATTAAACAATAATAAAATTACCATTAGGAAAAAATTATAGATTACAAATGATTGATTATTGTCCAGCAGTGTATTTGATTTCTTATAGCAAATTCAAAGTAAGAGATATGAAAAGAATTCCTTGTAAATAAATAAATAATAATAATATATACATAAATATGTTAGCCTGTACATTATACTTTAAAGCTCTTTTTTAAAATTAATTTAAAATTAATTATTTAAAATTAGCTTACATAAATTTCTACATATGCCATGTCATGCCCAGGGCCGGATTTACACATAGGCATTCTAGGCACATGCCTATGCTTGCTCATCCAGGGGGGCCCAAACACAATGAAGAGATATATAATATTTTTGTTATACTATGGGATATCTCACAGACGCGCACACACACGGAGACACGAACAGAAACTTGTCATCGGCTGCCCCGCAAATTTATCAGTAAAATAATTTCACAGCTGAAAAGCTATATGACATTTCTCAGTAGCGAGGTTCTTGAAGCAGTTCAACTTAAAGATTCGCTATTAGTAGACGCTGCTGCTGAATACTGCTGAGAGATGCACAGACGCAGGTATTCACACGCACTTAATCTCTCTCCCTCTCTCTCTCTCTAACAACTGCGTTAGACTGCATTAGACTGCATATCAATGGCTCAAGCATCCGTTATTAGCTCTAAAATGACGTTTTGGAATTGGCAAAGGAAGGTTTGGGAGGTGCGTAAAAAAATAGCTAGTTCAACACACACGAGATTTCAGGACGGAAACATGTCAAATGTCTTGAAACAAATCATCTGAACAATTGATGTGTGATTGTGACTCCAGGCCGTTAAAATTATTAGCGAAATAATTCACTGTGGCCATGTCGCAGCGCCTATTAATGGAATGGTCTTTCTCAGTTCTCAAACAAATTAAGAACTGTATTCGATTTTTACTGACTGAACGCAAGCGCTTATTGCGATAGAAAACACTGTAACGGTTTCCACTGATTAAGAAATATTTT